TCAGAACTGGACTGATCCACTTTCTTAGTGTTAGAGAGGAACCAGTGTAAAGACTTCAGAACTTGGACTGATCCTACTTTCTTAGTGTTAGTGAGGAACCAGTGTAAAGACTTCAGAACTGGACTGATCCACTTTCTTAGTGTCAGTGAGGAACCAGTGTAAAGACTTCACAACTGGACTGATCCACTTTCTTAGTGTCAGTGAGGAACCAGTGTAAAGACTTCAGAACTGGACTGATCCACTTTCTTAGTGTTGGTGAGGAACCAGTGTAAAGACCTCAGAACTGGACTGATCCACTTTCTTAGTGTTAGTGAGGAACCATTGTAAAGACTTCAGAACTGGACTGATCCACTTTCTTAGTGTTAGTGAGGAACCAGTGTAAAGACTTCAGAACTGGACTGATCCACTTTCTTAGTGTCAGTGAGGAACCAGTGTAAAGACTTCAAAACTGGACTGATCCACTTTCTTAGAGTTGGTGAGGAACCAGTGTAAATACCTCAGAACTGGACGTATCCACTTTCTTAGTGTCAGTGAGGAACCAGTGTAAAGACCTCAGAACTGGACTGATCCACTTTCTTAGTGTCAGTGAGGAACCAGTGTAAAGACCCCAGAACTGGACTGATCCACTTTCTTAGTGTTAGTGAGGAACCAGTGAAAAGACCCCAGAACTGGACTGATCCACTCTCTTAGTGTTAGTGAGGACTCGAGCAGCAGCGTTCTGAATCAGCTGCAGCTTTCTAATAGATTTTTTAGTGAGAGCTGTAAAGACACCATTACAGTAGTCCAGTCTACTGAAGATAAAAGCATGGACAAGTTTTTCCAAATCCTGCTGTGACATCAGTCTTTTAATCCTACAGTAGATATATTCTTTAGGTGATAGTAAGCTGATTTAGTAACTGTTTTAATAGGACTGTTGAAACTCAGGTCAGAGTCCATGACTACACCTAGGTTTCTGGCTTTATCTGTTGTTTTGAACATTGCAGACTGAGGCTCAGCGCTAACTTTTATACGTTCTGCCTTGGCTCCGAAAACCATTACCTCAGTTTTATCTTTGTTTAATTGGAGAAAGTTCTGAGACATCCAGTCATTGATTTGTTCAATGCATTTACCCAGTGTTTTAACTTTGTTACGGATCCACTATACTTTGAGTATGCAGGACATTTGTAAACATAGATTCACTTTATTTTGTAGTTTTGCAACTGTTATTCATTGCAACTTGGATGCATTTTACACCTGGTGTTATTTTTCTCTTCTGGCCTTATCCTTGTTTTTTTTGTTATACCTCAGACTGTGTCCCATCAGTGAGACACCCTGTAACCATTGCATAATGAAGTCAAACCACTGAAGACAATACTTGGCAGACTGTCTTGGCAGATGTCACATTGGCCCAAATGGCCTCAATGGAGAGAAAACAGCCGATTCTCACTCCATTCGTTCCACGGCGCAACGCTGTGAGGAAAACAAGTGCAGAAATAGTCAGTGAAGCCAGACAGTCCCTGCGAGTCCAGTCCACCCAGCGACCGTTCACTCCCAGAGATGGACACAGGCAACTTTTTGGAAAGAGCTCTGCTGGTGTAGACCGTGACAACCGACCTCCATCTACCTTCAGGTCAGTCACAAACTTCAACATCCTTCATGATTTGAGGTTCTGAGACAATTTGTGTTTTGCACCTACCATGTAGCAGAAATAATGCTTTTTATTTTTTTATTTTCAGCCTTCATGCACAAAACTTTGAATTTCCCGACTCGAGGCCAGGCTCAGGGACTCGCCTCTCTCCTCTGGACCATGTAAGTAACAAACACACATCTTTAAATGGTAGTTCAAATTGTATTTTGGAGTCTAATTAAGATGATGTTTAATGTCAGCTCAGGGAAATGATTGCATCTTTTAATAGTATTAATAATACTATTGAAAACTGAAAAAACATTAAAAAAAAAAAAGGTATCACTGTTATGTACTGTATGCAGTACAAAATTCAAAAAGTATGAATAGAAATACCAAAATACTTCATTCTCTTTTTGGTAAAAAAAAGTTGTTTAATATGGAGATTCAGTTTCTGTCTCATTGGTCAAACCGTCTTATTCCATTTATTGGTTTTTGTGGTACTAGAAGCCACATTTGCCAGTTCCCTGCGATGATGAGGATCCATTCAAGGCGTTTCCAAAACCCCCCGCTGACCCTCTGGAAGCGAAGAAGCGGCAGCCACGGACGAGGGCCCGCCTCCTCAGAGCTGGATCTCTCACCACACTGTCCCCTGTAGAGGGACACAAAGATGGTAAGGAAGGAGAAATATATGGGGAATTTGTTTTAGTGAGAGAAAATATTTGAAACATGGGGTTTAGAAGCACCATTGTAGAATTCAAAGAAAGTACATTTGTTAAGCTTTGAGAATTGTAGAAATGTATTACTTGTAAAATTGATTTTCAAGTGGGCGAATGGCCTTGTCCCAGAACTAGTCAGAGAAATCCTTGTAAAATACAACAGTAAAGGATCCATAAGGGGAGCAGTTACTAGAGACTGAAGGACAACCTTCAATCAGTCCACATTTACAATTAAAGGCCCGCAGAATCTCTTTGGCTATTTTTTTTTTTTATGTTTGTATTATGTGTTTTTATTTCTTAAAAGCCTACCCAGGGACAAGGGCTGCAAACTAACCGCATGCTACAAGACCTAGAATGCATGGGATACACTTCATTTAATGCAACCCCTGTGGCCCCTGTCAAATCATTTTAAAGTTAAGTCATTATTTTAAGGGAGGCATCCATGCAATCCAAGGAAATTATATAAAGAGAAGATGGTTAATTTTATTACACAGGTAGAAGAGAAAACTACACTACATTTATTTCACCCGTCGCATCCCTGTAAATCTTCTCTGCAGGCACTAGTGCAAGAGCGGTTTTCTCAAAGGGGAAATGAATGGAACCATTCACATGCTGACATTTTACCTGATTTACATGCTTTGTGGTCGGCCGGGTGAAAATCGTGATTTACGGCCGCTGTTTTGAGTGGGATAGGCTTCTCTCTTTCTCTAAAAACTTGTCTCGCAAATCTGCTCTGCTGTCCAAAGCAACTAAATAGATGATGAGGACTGACTGAATTTATCCTGTGCACATGTGCGTATATGGTATCTTATTCATAGTAACTGAGTCATATAAGTACAAATGTTACTGCTACATATTGCAACAACCTGTAAATAACATCTTGCCACATAATTTCTGTGTTCAGTGAAAGAGCGAGTAAACCCAGGCCCGGGACAAAAGCAAGCGTCACTTAAACGACTCCCCAGTTCTGACCACACCGAGGCCCGCGGTGGTCCTCACAAACCTGGCCCACGCAGAGCAGCAAGTGAAAGGTACGCTTTCTACCCCTCTGTTCGACTTGCAACATCTATCCTTGTCTCTTGCCTCACCCCCCCCCCACACCATCTCCTGCTCCCCCTTTTCTTCCCAGAATGACAGTGTGACAATGACCCGAAGATTTATTGGCGCACAAAGGTTGCAGTGGTAGCCATTACACGATGGAGTCGATTGTGCCTCCCATTTTTGCCTTTCACTAAATCCTCCTCCCCCTCCTTCTTCTCCTACTTGCCTTGCCCCGGTTTGTCCAATTCTGAGTTTCTCATGTCTTTTTGTGTTCCTGTTTTAGTCCATAAATAATCTAGACTGCTAGGAAGAGGTGTTATAACAAGAAAGACCTTAGTGAGGCTGAAATCATTATTAGTGTTTGCGTTATTTTGCACTATGCCTGAGTTATTTCCCACATATTAACAAAAAACCTAAAACACAGCCCTGGAAACTGCTATAGCTCTTAGTGTTATATAGTACAGGGGCTAACATAGACAAACTCAAATCCAGTGTTAGTTACTGTGATTTATTTTCAGATATGTTCAGCTACCATCACTGACAGCTATATATGACGTTGGAAAGACCAGCAATGCTGTCACTAACTAGAACAAATTCTTCAACTTAACACACTCAGCCCCATTTAAAACCATCATAAAAGTTTACTGTACACTATATCTTGGTGAAATCCAGCTTCATTCCAACTGAAACTGCCTCTATCTGTCATTACTAACTCGTGTCAGCTTTTACACCTTCACGTCACAGAAAGGCTAAAAAGCTGCTTTTTTTCTGCCGACCTCATCAGCTTTGTGTCAGCACGAGGGGCATAATTCTGTGCGTGAGGTCGGGGGCCATCGTTACAATCCATCCGCCTATCGATTGGGTGGGGCAGCTGAGGCTGTAGAGGGGGGACAGACCATAAAACACTTTTACAGGAAATCTGGGTTATCGCCTGCAGCACGTGCTCTGCACCTCCTCCCTCACAAGTTAACACGCAATGTTAGTGTAATATGTGGCTGAAAAAAAGAGAACTGAGACTTCGTTCAATGTGTGTTTCAAGAGGACAAGAGTAAAGACTTTTTGATTGTTGCTAGGTCAGAGTTTTTAAGTGCTTTTTCCTAAGTGTTGCATTAAAGGTGCGTTGGATGGAGACTAAGAAAGTGAAAATCACAGAGATACTGTAGCAAAGCCAAAAGTACAGTGACTGTAAGTGGGAAGTGGAAATAGACTTAGCATGACAGATTAATATGATGAATTGGATAAGATATAAAGATAGGGGAGATTAGACATCCACTAGGTTCTTTTTCTCCAATAAGCCAGAGCTTTATAGCTCCAAATGGCTCTCTATTAGATTTGGGTGCCCATCTGGGTAAGGCTGGCAGCCACGTGTGTTGTGACTGCAGTGCACTGGCCAGGCCTAAGACAGCGATGAGGTCATGTCTCCGAGAATGCAGTATCACACAAAGAGGCCTTATTATCAGCCTCTTAATCCTATCATACAGAGCCAAAGCCCCCTCTCTGACACACACTGCAACAGGCCTCGGCCAGCACTCCCTGCTGCATCTGCCCTGTGTGCCAGCTTACACCAATCACTACAATCTCCTTCAAAGTGACTGTGCACTCTATAGTCACACGCACACGCTGTATATTAATGCTAACGGTATCAAGCAACGCCTACTGGTACTATTAAAGGTCCATTTTCTGTCTCATACCTGTCAGCAAGATCATTAAAATAAGACACACTTGAATTAAAAACTTCAATACGCTGAGAGCTAACCTTTTGTACTAATGTCAAATCAGCAGAGAGTCATAATTATATCTGTCTTTGACTGTAGTGATTTCCATGTTTTTCTAAAGTTATCAGAATGACTCACCATGCTGCTTGTACTTATTTGTATGTATTAATAGCTATGTTTTAATGTAGTAATTAGGCATAAGACACTCTTCCAGTCGTGAGTCACAGTATTTATTGTCTTCTCTGTGTGTGAGCAGAATTGTGACAGACTTAAGTTGACAGTGGCAGCAAGAGTAAGATGCAACAGTGACATACAGAGGGAAGCCACAACACATAGCATAGCATGACACGGGGGAGGTTTCTGCACAGAGGTGATAGGGCTTTGCAGAGACAGGTCACAGTGACACAGCACGAACAGGCTGCCCACAAAGCTAAGATCTGAGTTCCTGTCTGTTGGGGATATGCGCTGCACAACGGCTTGCATGCCTGCACACATACAAAAGTTCGCACGCACACAAAAACTTCCAAGCTGTCACGCACAAGCAGCACAAATGTACACAAAGATATTTCACATAGCAGCACCTGCACACACGTCCCAACCCCTGCTACAACAGGGACACCTAGTGGCACGTGATGGAAATACACCTGCAGCCTGGTTGACAGAATATAGTCAGCAATGTTTAATGGAGATGTTTTCTTTGACATGATCTGTCTTCCTTGAACATTTTATTATGTTATTTGTTATGTTGATACCCACATTAGCCAAATCTCCTAAATTAAATTAAACTACACTAATCAGTAGTTGCATGTGTCTTGTCTTAAAAATCTATATCTATGTACCTATAATTGTTGTGTTTTTTTTGTGACAACAGCAGAATAAAGCAGCCTGGTGTCAGCTCCAGCGTTAGACCTACAGAGTGCAGAGCAGGACAGACAACAGGTTTGTCCAGATATACTCAATATACCTCTCTTAAACCATTGACATATTCAAAAACAATACAGGTGCAACTTTTTCGAAAATGCAACACTTGATTAATTGGTCTGTGATGCAAAAATCAACTCTCTTTTTGAACTATTCAAACACAATCATGACTTAAAAAGTAATTCCGACCTATTTCAGCATTAAACCTTCATCTGCTCTGACTCCCTGACTTGGCTTTATAAATAAAGGCATTTAAGTGGTTTAATAAGAGAGTGCATTGTTTTTTTTTGCATCTACGTGTACACTTAGACAACAGCACCTCAAACTAACTAACTTTTGAGTCAACGAAGTGATCTTAGATGTCTAAAGCCAAACTGATACCAACCCAAGCATGCCTTAAAACAATGAGACTTGATCCCAGAAATGTTGTTTTTTCCAGCAACTTAGTCAAACCTCTGTTCACTGTACTGAACACCCTACACTTTAAATTGAGGTTTTGTTGCTAAGGGCCACATTTCCACCTTGGGAGGAAGCCAGCCAATAGCTGAGAGAGCTGTTGGTTTGAGCAACCACCGTTTCCTGCATCTCACCAAGCAAGGGTTTATGCAAATACTCAGCAAAAAAAAGAGCTTCACGCAGTGTGAGAGATTGCATACATTTGCATGCACAAACATGCATTTTCATCACACATGCACTCGTTAAAATACCCACGCACAGACTATTTCAGCACAGAAACAGACATTACGGGAAGTGAGGCTGCGGATGGTGACCTTTCATTGTGGCATCAAACTTCCTGCTGTTTTATTTTGAGACGGTGAACTTGTGAACCATGCTTGTCGCCCGCGTTCACTGTCTGTGTTTGGATGTGATAGTTGGCTAACTGCAATTCTCTCCATGCATTTCAGAGCTGGGGAATGGAGACGAAACCAAGAGGAAGAAGGACGATGCAGAGTCATTGGTGTGGAATAATAGGATTGCTCCTCTTCTCCAACAACTAGAGAGTATGGCTGCAGGTAGTGTGAGCAATGCAATAAGGAAACCCACACAAAAAGTGCAAAGATGTGACGTGCATCAGTGTTGAACACATCCATTCATCTGATCCAAAAAAACATACAGTTTCTGTCACCAAATATACTCACAGTATCACCTCTCAATGTTACATTTTGCCTTTTGGGTGCATTGTACCTCGTCTCTTTTTTAATTAAAGGTAAGCTTCTTTCAGCTTCTTCTCTTCCTAATTTCCCCTGTTACTATTTCATTTTCAACCAGCAGGATTTTAGCAAAAGCAGATAGTCATTAAAGGTAGGGTAGGTAATTCACTTCAGAAACACTTTTTGTTATTCCATGGAATGCTCTTAACATCCCGATAGCAATGAATATATTAAATGCTTTGACAATAAATACATAAAAATATTTCATCTGTGGAAGCCGTAGTACTGTAAAAAGCACGACCAATCATTTTAGCCGGCCCGGCTAAAATAACTGGATGGCCTACCTGCCTGTCAGCCTTCCATCTGTGCACAAACTTATCTCGTGCCCTCATTGGTCATGTGCGCGTTCGTGTGTGTTGGAGTAGGGGCTCTGTAAGGAAGTCTGAGAGAAGGGGCAGATTTTCTTTCGGCTGCATACTTTCAAATTCTAGCGCACTCGAGCTGGTTTCTCCATTCTTACCTACCTTTAAGTCTCACAGAATGAAAAAGCACTTTAATTTCAACCACTGAAGAAATAGGAAACCAAATATTGTTATGTTTGGCATCCATGCAGAATTGTCTTAGCATGAAACGGCAGTCTGACAGCCATGAAATGAAATCTGCAGCTGTAAATATTTTAACACTCTACAAATTTAATGGAAAATTCATTTGAAAGATAAATATTAAATATTTATTGTACCAAGTGCCTTCTGGTTCATGCATAAAACACCCTTCAGAGTCAGTGGAAATAGCATTGAAGTGTTGAGTGTAAGACTACAGCCAACCTTTCTTAGAAATGGCCAAACCCTGTTCTTTATGCAGGGTAAACATTTATTTTACCTCAAAAACAAGGAAAAGACTCCACCCTTTTCTCTTCCTCTGCGTCAAGATCCCAGCTGCCTGTAGCCGAGTTGTTCCCCTGCACATGACCGTCAAAACTCAGAGCTGCTTCTTAGAAAAAGGGAGGGGAATGTTATTTTACTGCTGACCAATGCATTATTGATGTTGAAGGGTTAACCTCATGACAAAAGTACACCATGTCAAAGCCAAAGCAAATTTAACAAACACACCACAACATATACAAAACATCACTCATCTGTATTTATATTGATACACACTTTCCAACACACTCAACTGGGTGTTTCGGTTTTTGGGATGTTTGCTTTCCATTTGAATGTCTAACATGTTGCCCTGCATTTGACTTTCCTTAAAGGTCCCCTATTATGCAAAATTCACTTTTTCATTTCTTTTACACATAAACATGTGTCCCCTCTGTGTAAAGAGATTCTGAAAGTTTCAGGAAAAAAGATTCCCTCTCTTTTTGTCCTGATCCATTTATATAAAAACCTGTCTGAAAATGAGCTGATCAGATTTTGGCCATTCTATGATGTCATAACGTTTTTTTGGCTTGTGTAACCATTAGCCAATAACCAACCAAGGTAACACCCGCCCACCTGATCACCTGAATCTCCTCCTAGAGCACCATTGTGTTATTTTTAACCAAATATCTCTCAGAGGGGTGTAGGGAGTGGCACCTTATTTTCATCTAAAGTAAAAGACAGAGAATCAGCACTTTTGAAACAGGGCTGAAACAGAGGGGATTATGGGATGCTACAATGCATGATCTGTTTGGTGTTTCGAGCCAAACACTTCAGAGACATATTTTGTATATAACTGAGAACTATAATATATTGATGAAAAACAGTATAATAGGGAACCTGTAATTTTGCCAATGTCTGTTTTTCCTGCGATGCCAGGCAGCTCCGAGGGCTCGGTGGACCCTCTGTGTGATGTGTGTGACCGTCTCCATGGCACCTTGGCAGAAGCGGACATGCTCGGCCGGCGCTGTAAGAGGAGGTCAGGGATACTTCGAACGCTGTTTCGCCTCATCGACCTCCACTCTGCCCGGCTCAACCTGCACATCTCCACGCTCTGCCTCGCTGTGAGTCGTCTGCGGGGGTGTCAGCATGTCTGCCGCTCAGTCACTACCACAAGGGCATCCAGGGCACTCTGGCGCTTAATACACCTTTCTTTTTGCATCTTTCTCTGCAGCTGTGTGTCAGTGGAAACAATCTGCTCAACATCTGTAAGCTCATCTTCCAGATCAGCCGCAGTGAAAGCAACGACATCCTCTTTCAGAACAACTCCATCATAGGTGAACACTGTTCCAGGTCACATGATGTAGCTTACAGTGTTATTCCTATTCTTTCCTATATTCTGAAATATATAAGTTAAGGCCACAATGTTATTTTTATGAATATGAGGGAACACAATGTTAAGCTGCTTCAACAGCATGCATCATTTTGTATCTGTCTGGTACTATTTGGTGCAGTTTTTATGGAACCTGTTTACCAGGGCATTACAGATTGCCAATGTCCCATTGAGTGAACAAATGATGGATACTAACGTTTGATTTTTCATGTGTTCAGACTCGTTTCTGGGCGTTTTGAGCAAAGAGGATGTGTCATCATCTGGAGAAGCTCTGCTGTACTGTGTTGGGACTCTGAAATTTCTCTCAGGAAACAGTGAGATCCTCAGACTCCTACTGGACAAGAACTGTGTTGGTGTGGCTCAGAAACTCATCCAGAGGCTCTGCACGGCACGAGAAACAAACTTCACCACATCAGGGCACATCCTCGTACAGGTGGGTCAGAATGAACCCAGTTGAGAAAGTTGAATGGGTATTTGGAATAAATCTTTAGATATGTAATGTACATTATTCTTTATAAACCAACAGCTTGCGTCCCACAGCTGGTGGAAACTTGAAGCATGTACTCCTGCTCACAAAAACACAGATGCTATTGCAAACAGTTTTACTATGCGAGTAAAAGTGAAGTCAATACAAAGGAACACAATGTTAAATATTCTTCATCATGTGTATGTTGGCTGTAGATTTTCCCACAATACACAAGAGCATACCGTTCCCTACTGGCAACACAAAACACCCTGTTTCCCTCTTTCTAAAATGGTTGCTGCTAATTGCATAATGTGGCCCAAGCTAACATCTTGAGCCAGAACTTCATTTGATATCCAACACAACTCATTAGGCTGTTAGTGGAGGGAAATAAACTTTCAGTGCTGCCGTGAGTTGGAAATTGCTATTTCCCTCTTATGATATAATTATCCTTGGCCATACTGAATAGTTTCCGATCACTCTGCTGTATGGCGTCCTGTACAGGCCAGATGCCAGCCTTATTAAGCACATGACTGACATTCAGTGCAGCACAACACTGACACACAATACTGGCTTGAATATAAATCCTTAGCTTTAACAGGTACATTTTTTCTTGCTTTCCAACACTCTCACTTATATTTCCCTCTGTCTGACCTCTGACCCCTGCAGCTGACGGCAGCCTTGAGGAACCTTGCAGATCACCCTGATGCCCGTCCACTCTTTGTCTCCTTCTCTATACTGTCAGAGCTCTTTGTGGTGCTGCGTCTTCACCACAAAGACCCAGACATCTGCACCAACATCTCCAGGATATACAGGTATTGCACTTTTACTTCCCTAAGGATAATCTGCTCCTTATTTCTCCCCAGCTCACTTACAAAAAAACATCGTAAAAAACATCGTAACCTGTCACGAGCTGAATCAAAACAAGCCATCATTCAGCTCTCCCCCTCTGTTCTCTGTTTTCACTTCTCTCTGCAGCAGTCGCTGTATTACTAGATTCGCTACTTTCTTTTTTCCCCCCTATAACTTGGAGTCTTTGTTTGTAGCACAAAACAAGAGTCTCCAGAGAAACAGAGAATATGTCAGAGGAGATGTCATTATACGTATTTTTGTGATTTAAAAAAAAACTTTTTAAAAAGCTTTTTCCGTATAGACTTCAGAATGTACAAATGAGCTTAAATGTGAAGACCTACATGCAAAAAAGGTCACTGAGTGTAGTTTCAAATAAAATTTAACTTAGAACTTTCACACATTTAAACTAACTAAAGTAAAACGGTTTCTTGCATGAACTTGCACAAAATAAAGTAAAACGGTTTCTTGCAGGAACTTGCAGAGTTAGACAACACTATTAGGGTGATCTTTATGGCAGTGGGGACAATAAAGTCACACAAGCTCCATAAATATCTATCACATAAAACATCACTGAAGACTAATTCAACACAGGCTTAAACTCAGGCTTATGAGACTGTATATGAATGTATTTGGAAATAAATTACATATATACACATAGTTTTAGCTATACAATGTTACTACTTCTATAAGTAAAGCTGTCAAAACTAACTTTGTAATGCAGTAAGATCTATCTAAAGAGTTTGCTAACGTTAACCCCCTACAGGTCATACCCGACACTGACAGAGGGCTTTTGGCCCCACATTCCCCATCTTCAGTTTGTCGCTGTCGGTCTCATACGTTTTTTTTATCAGTTTGTGAAACATTTAGCACTTTAGATTGTAATGGAAGTGTTTTTCAGCCCAAGATAATGAAAGCATGAGCGGTAGATCACAGACCAGAGCTGCTTATCCATTAGCAGTGTTGATTTAATGTCTGCGAGTGAGTGGAACAGTCAGTGTGTTTGTTGTCCCCTCTCTCCCTCAGTAAACTCTCCTCTTACTCGGAGTGCCGTCTCGCTCTGGCCCAGACCCCCGACTGCTACCAACTATTATTAGAACTGCTGAGCAAACATCACCAAAAACAGGTGAGTCCACGAGCTTCCTCTTGTGTGAGTGTGTGTGTGTTCTTGTGTGTGTGCGCGTAACAGTGAGATGAAGACAAACTTTTTTCCAGTGCTGATGACTTAATTCCATTAGCATGTTTACCCTCAGAGCAGTTTGTTTATGTACCTCAAGTCCAAGCACATTTACGGGGACATTGTGTCCACCTGCGTTCTTCCCACTTTCTCGTGGTTGTTTTGACATTTAATCATCCTAGGGAGGGCTGAGTAAATCAAAGAAAGGGGCGAAGGGATGGAGGGATGGAGGAGGAGAAAAAACATTTAATGAGGCAAGCTTGAGTAGATACTACAGCAGAGGTGATACAGAGGTGGATGGGGAGGAGTGGTGGCAAAGAGGAGGCGGAAAAAGAATGGGTGGGACTTTGGCAATCAGAAATGATTGACATGTGTTCTTAATCTTACCAGGAATAATCACAAACACACACACACACACACACACACACACACACACACACACACACACACACACACACACACACACACACACACACACACACACACACATACCATGTATACATTACTACGTACGGAAGGTACTACTACTATTACGTACTTACTACGTACTAGGACGTACGACGACCGAACGACGACCGAGGANGACATTACATTGACTTACATGCATTTCATGGAGACTTATCCTAACCTTAACCATAACCAACATATGCCTAACCCTAACCCTAACCCTAAACCTAAACTTAACCAAGTCTTCACCCTAAAATGAATGATTCCCCTCATGGGGACCTCCATTTTGTCCCCATAAGGGAGGTGAGTCCCCACATGTGACTGTGTAAACAGATTTAGGTCCCCACAAGTATAGTAATGCTAGGCCACACACACACACACACACACACACACACACACAGGATAGTAATACATGTAATGAGCACCTGGTCCTGGGACAACTCGTCCTGTCCTGTCACTGCGCATTTATGGGAAACAGTGTGTATCCAAACCATGATCCAAACCCACCTGCTTCGTCTTAAGCAGAGTCGGGTACAGGGGTGGGGTTTCTTGGAAAGTGTGCGATAACTAATTAGAAAGATGAGCAGGATCACACTTAAAATATGTGTACAGAGCTATTAGCTCCCCATGGGAAATGAGTGACACCGGCATAGTGCTACTTGACAGGGCAGGTGACGTGTCTGTTGAGCTTCGGAAATCTCATCGAATATATTGTTGACTGTCACTTTGGGGAGATCTTTTATTAATCAAATATACTATAAATATACAATATTCTTGATATAACCATCTAGACAAATGCAAGACATGTACTGGTTCCAGCTTTTCTCTGTTTTATATAATTGTAAATTGAATATATTTGGGTTTTGGACTGCTGTTCTGACAAAACAAGAATAGCAATGATAATACATGTATGATGATACTGTGTAAATACTCCTGCCTCTCCTGAATTATTTCAGTTTTGTTTCCGTTCTCCCCATGTCTCCCTCCACCAATAACCCACACACAAATAAGTGTAATTCATTTCACAAACGTGCACAATAAACTAAGTAAAACCATCATCATATTATCACAATATTAGTTTTATTAGGATTTATTTTTCCCATGAAAATATGTAGTTGAAATCTGATACCGTAGCCCTAGTTTGAAGCTCTGAAGTTACTTTTCTCAACATGCTCTGGCCTTGTAGCCAAGTTTATTAGACAGAAACATCTAAACACATTTGTGGTTGGGTTGTTTGAATTCAGAAGGAAAAACAAACACAAAAAGCTGTAGAATGACCCCTGCATGGCTCTCCACTGCTCTCCCACAGGACCTTGTTGTGCGACTTCTCTTCACCCTCGGGAACCTCACAGCCAAAAGCGATGAGGCTCGGCTGCAGCTCTTCCAGGTCGAGGGCTGCATGGACACGCTCCTGCAGCTGTACGTCACGTACCAGCACAGAAACCGCCCTCCACTCCCACAGACAGACCCCCCTCCCCTCAGCAGGCCTCAGGCAGCCCCAGCGAGCGTGCAGGAGGAGGAAGACGTGCTGGTGAAGCTGGTGAGGGTGCTGGCCAACATGTGCATCCACCCAGCTGTAGGTCCAGCTCTGGCTACCAACACATCCTGCATTCAGCTGCTGGTGGAGACACTTGGTGAGCAGTAGACTCATATGATACGATTCGATAATACCTTAATGGTCAGATCAGGTCTGACATTTGACTTGCATCACAGCAGCTCCATGTGTAACATCGACATAGATAAATATCAAGACACAATACATGAAAAATAAACAACAAACATTTAACATAACATCACAATCACTGAGAGGGAAATCCCTGAATGTACGCTAAAGGGTCTTTGAGCAAGACCCTTCAGCGTGCATTTGATCAGGGATTTAGCTCTGTATTTACTGTGAGGATTGACTGATGCACAAAGGAGTGCTTCAGTCTGACTTTATTGAATCGCGGGACCCTGTATCTCCGATTAGATGGTAGCAGTTCATATTCGCATCCTAAACAAGTTTGACAAAATCACATATTTACAGCTGTACATTTTTTAGATTGGTCCTTTTCTCCAGTTGTATTCCTCTGTGATACAAAGAGAGCTGTGTGTGAAAATCTGGAGTTCCGATAAGTTTAAAAATAGCTGTTTTGGTGCATTGTAAGTACAGTATCTGCTCAGCACCAAACCACTTCCCTTGTGCTGGGAACGAGATGTGTCTTTGGTTGAAAAACACACCCCTCCTTTGTCTGTACATTCCTTCGCTCGCTTTCCTTTCAGGGCTTTCTGCTCGATACGCAGCACATCCTCTTTTTGGTTTACCTGTTGTTTTGTCTGGCAGAGCGAGGCGCTTCACTGCAAAAGCAGGATGTTCTGTCACATCGCACAGCACCCTTGGTTTGTGTGTGTGTGTGAGATCTTCCTATGTGGTTAGATGGTTTCAGGACAGGTTGAACCGAAACACAGCGAGGGTGTGAAACTCTTGATTTCGCTGCTGCCTGCCTCCTACACACTCTGCGACAGTTGGGACATAAATTAAATTAACAAAACAGAGGTCAAACTAGTGAGAAAAAGTCAAATCTCCAAAGATATGGGGGTGTGTTATTGATGCCAGAGTCTGAGATGGAGAGCAAGTGAAGGAAGTGAAGAAAGAGACATTTAATGAGGAAGAATATAAAGTTGTTTTGAAAGATGGAAACAGAATCAGAGCAAAACTGGCTGATCCATGTCCTGTTTTGATCAAGTTCAATGACAGACAGTGCTGCTTTAGATTACAGAGCTTTGAGGGGGGGGGAGGGCAGAACAAAGCAGTATTTCCAGTCAGAAACCAAAACAAAATTCAGTGTGACACACAGCCGCCCGCCGGTTGACAGCAACCACAATATCCGCGATTTATGACGAAGCACTCTACATCTGCTGCTAAATCAGGAGCACCTCGTTTCCAAGCCACTCACGATGTCACGGCAGGGTGGATTGGGTCAAGCTGACCTTTGTGTGCCAGCTCATGATCAACTGGACTATATCAAGAACAAACCGGAGATAACAACTTCTTTTATGGCAATGTCACGGTGGCACATCAGTGTGTCCAAGCCGTAAGATGCAAAAAGGTCCCCGGTATTTCTGTGTCGTTATTTAGATCGTTATATCATTTAAGCTGTCAATCAGTCTTTATGCATTTGCATTGGACTAGAAATATAAAAAAACAACATATTTATTCTGACAGCAACCCAGTTTTCCCAATCCATGTTTCAGTTGTTTTACGGATTAATAATCTACCATTGCATTATCTTCTTCATCTACATAAAAGGAAACAACGCTTTCATTGGATGCACCTGGTTAGTCATTCAAGAGGAGGTATTGCTTTTAGCTCTCAGTGAATATGTCATTGAAACTACCTGGGAAGTTATGTAAGGATAATGTGTCGCATTATGTTGTGACTAAAATAATGGGATAGTATAAATAGAGTCATATATCAGCAGAATGAAAGCCTGTCCCTGTTGCCTGCTCCCTCTGTTGGTTCTAATTATACAGGAGGATTTAAAGGAACCTCAACATCTCTATTACAAATGATATTTTTTGAACTTGCTTTTAGTGGGGATTATTCTCTTATTTCTTGTGTGTGTGTTTGTTTCACAGAGTTGAAAACTGTGCTGGAAAGCGAAGAGTTAATGGTGAATGTGGCCGCCACCATCAACAACCTGTCCTTCTACCAGGAGGAAAGCTCTGCACTCAGGCGCAGTCAACTCACCATCGCAAAGTGTAAGACTGAAAAACTGACGGATCCCAATGTAGAAACGGAAACAAATAACATTAAGAGTTCATATTTCTTCAGTTTTAGCTGATTTGACACTTTTCGCCCCCCATTCTCTCTGCTTTTTGTTCAATTCCCCTCTCCCTACTTTTACTTTGCTCCCTCTCCCTCAGTGATGCTGAAGTTGGTGCTCAGCTCAAGTATGGACGCCATGCTTGAGGCCACTCGTGTGTATGGAAATGTGTCACAGTCCAAGGATGTACGGGACTTTATTATGCAAAACAAAGGTATATGATGGAAACAAACACCAACAGACACACACAAAACACTGCCACGTGAGACTTTGCTTCTTTATTTTTTGTTTAAGCCATACTTCATTGAGTCTTGCAGGAAAGATATGCCATTTGAGAATAAACCGACATCTTTAAAGCCTAGTAATACAGAGAAAAAGAGGCCTATGGATGCAGAAATCATATCATCCGTGCACAGAACATTACATAACACCGAGCACCTCGACTCAGTGCTCAGTACAGTAGGCAGCTCTGCATACTGTTGTGTCATGTTTAGGCTGGACTTATCTGCAAGGCCAGCTTCTGTCAGTGTAAACACGCCCGCTGACTCTGGTGATAGCAGCCTTCTTATCTTTGACCTGCTTTGTCTTCGCCCGCTCCCTCACATCATCATCTCTCTCCACTCTTCTCCCTCCTTCCTTCAGTGCACCAGTTTGTAGTGACGCTGCTCGACTCAAAAAGCACTGAGATGTGTTTTGCAGCCTGCGGGGTCCTCACCAACCTGACGCTGGACCCCCCCAACAGGCTCAGTCTCACAGTGGAGGGGGCTGATGCCAAGTAAGGACTTATGCACTTAGAAAGGACCCATAGTACATATTGTATTCGACAGACATTCCCAGGGCTTTTGACTAGATAGTAAAAGCAGATCTACCCTGCATAATACATAATATTGAAATCACAATATGGTAATTACTTGAAATTTACTATAAAACATCGAAGGAAACACAGTCTAACAAAATCCACTGATTAACATGTTGTATATTGTTAGTTTTATCTATACAATAACAGAAGTCCAGGGGTTTATTTGTTACTTGTGAACAGAGCCAGGCTAACTGCTTCCCGTCCTTATGCTAACCTGCTAATGGCCTTAGCGTCATATTCAGTGGGCAGATAAGACAGAGGAATTATTATATTTTCTAACTCCTTCATGGCTAAAATATGTTGAAGTACCCTTAAATAGAAAACTGAGCTCATTCTTTTTGAGTCTTTGGCCAAAGTTGCATCCTCTTTGAAACGTAGAGTAAACTTTCTTTTGGTGGGAAAATATGTTCTTCATAATGAGAAACATGTGCTTAACAACTCCACTGACATGAACAAGATGCTTATTATCAACTCCCAACCTGGATGTTATTTGTTTTCATAAGTTATACGTGAGTATAGCAACAAATAAAGTTATAATTACAGATTTTAGATTTTCCATTTAGGTGTGTAAATGTTTAGCACATGGATGAAAGGCTATTGTGTGAACATTGTTTGAACATCTGAGTATACACTTCCCCACACACACACACTTCAGATGTTGGTTCAATGAAATGGAGCTAATGCCCACAAACCTGCTGGTCATGTGAATCCTTCCCTCTCTCGAGAGTCACACGGGTGTGTGTGTGTGTGTGTGTGTGTGTGTGTGTGTGTGTGTGTGTGTGTGTGTGTGTGTGTGTGTGGTTGGTTGGTTGGTTGGTTGGTTGGTTGGTTGTGTGTGATCAGGCTTGTGGATTGTCTGAGAGACTTCGGAGCAGGTGATTGGCAGCTGGCGGGCCAGGTTTGTCAGGCGTTGTGGAACATGAGCGGCGGCGGCTCAGAGACGTTGCTGGACACACAGGAGAGAGAGTCGCTGGTGGAGATCCTCACTACATACTTAGGTTGGTGTTATTACTAATCCTTACATAACAAGGGAGGGAGACAAGCTGGCAAAAACATGCTGTTGTTCACACTGGTGGCCCTCTGGGGCGGAGGGAGGGGAACGCATATCCCCATTAACAAGAACAAACTACCTCCATGTTCATAAAACCTGTCAGTTAAAAGTATCCAAAAAACCTGAAACCTCCTCCTGTGTCCAATCTTCTCAATTCCTTAGATGAAGAGGAGGCTCTGAGGTGGATAGAGAATGAAGACATCAAGGACTACCATAGGGCATGCTGGGAGTTAGAGTTCTTACCTGCAGCTCAAAAACTGCTGAAGTCTCTCCAGCCTCTGGATTGGACAGCCTGATGAATGTTGTGGTTGTTTTATGATGTTGAAGCCTTAGCATTGTTTTTAACTCTCATATACAAAAACCTAAACTAACTTCACTATTTAACATTATCCCCTGTCGGTGTAGAGAAAGCTTTCTTTATTAATGGAGGGCATAAGGTAAGGTCAGCATGAATTCATTTCAGTCACAGTGGATTTTCTCGGTAGTTTTGAAGGCAAAAAAAGTCAAAACACCTTTTAAATGTCTCAAGCCACTACTGCAGCATCCTTTAATGCTACCCTTTCTAGGACACGTTTGTCATGATTTAGCAAAAATGATGGCAATTTCTCACAGTTCATACTGACTATTGCTCTTTGCTATTTATTGGTGAGATTTTCCATGATACTAGAAACCTTTTGCAGACCGTTTTTAGGCCAAAAGATAAGCAGCAAGTCATATTCAAAACAATTACAAATGTCTGATGAATGAAATAATGCTAAATAAAAGAAGCAGGGTAAATCTGATAAATGATACAGTTTGTGAGTATACTTTGTTTCTCAATTATTTGTCTCTATAAACATGTTCTGCGTAGCTTTTTAATCACTCTGCGTCTTAAGAATAACAACAGCTTAACTTTGTATGCACTTTAATTCCCATAAAGCTAGCAGAAGCCTTGACTTGGGTAATTTCAGATGTACTTTTATACAAGCTGCACATTTATATAACAGACGTTATCTGTTTTGTTAGCTGACTGCGTTGTAAAGGTTCTTTTATGATAATGTAGTCTTGAAAAACAGATGACTAACTTGGAATTTACCTTAAGTAAATGTTTCATTGTGCAGGGATTTTGTGACACTGAAACTTGTACATAATAAAGAAACAAGTGGAAAAACAGAGTTTGCTTCTCATGGCCTTTTTTATTACACAGATATGGGGCCAGGCAGTGCTTACAAGATACACCAAGTACACCTAAAGTACAGCATTTCAAAATCACATGGTTATTACATTGAGACAAATCACAAATGGCACTTAATGTAAAGACCCATATTGTCATTTCCCCCAGTTTTCACACTATAGAGACCTTTAAACAACCACAAGACAAGCCGATGTTTCAAAAAACGCCAAATGATTCTTTAGCCAGAGCTAATAACAAACATTGTTCTCCACATTAAGTTTCTCACGTTGATATGAAAGACAGCCGGCTGGCTGATGCCAAGGTTTCCTTTTTCATTTATCATCTGGAGGAACCGAAAAAGTGAAGGCAGTTTAGGATAACACTAAGTTTCTCTGGTGAGTGAGAACAAAACACACAGGCCTCGATAAGAAACACCCTGAACTTCAGACAGATAACAAGCCTCACCAGGGAAATTTAGGTTTTTCCCAGTGAGGTGATAGCGAGGCAAATAGAAAAGAGAGGTAAAGTTTCCTACAAGGGATTCCCCCTTATCTCAAATTATTGGTCAGGAGCAAAGAGAAACTTTGACCTTGACGGCTCCACAGAGCAGGGCTCTGGTTCTCAGTGAGTCATACATGATGAGTCCCGGGACCTTACTGATGACAGGCTGAGTTCAGATCGTTGTGGATGTAGTCAGCCTTATTATCAAAGAGCTGAGTGTACGTTGGAGCATAAGGTGATGGAACAACTCCCCACCTCTTCTCATGAGTCATCTCACCATTATTTCACTTTCTAAACTCAAACGGTGGAAGTGAACCAATGCTGATTGTGCTGCGAGTCTTTTATTCCTGAATTGTGTCGGCCTCTCCACGTCTAATATAATCTCCTCGATGAAGCAGTGAAATCAAATTGTTAAGGAGAAAACTACGAATGATACACAACAATTCAATATCAGTTTGTTTTTTTCATCTTTTTAATATATTTTCATATAAAAAGTGTCAGTCACTGACATCAGTCAGAAGTTTGAAAGAAAAAAAAACCTCCACTTCCTCTCAAACCACTTCCAAATGTACCATTCTTTTATCATCACCCTCCTCCTCCTCCTCCTCTTCACTCATTCACCTGTCTGACTCTCAATCCACCCTCAGAAGAATGCAGTACTTTACTGGTTTTAGTAAACAAAAAACAAAACAGCAGAGGCTTCACACCTCTGTTCAAAGTAAAAAAAAAAAGCTTCTTTCGCACTGGTTAGACTTCCCCAGCAGGGAAATAAGCACAGCTACAACATTTTGCGTTCGACAGGTAATCGACCGCAGTCGGCCCTGTGTGGGCCCAGGGTCCCAAAACAAAGGGAACACGGCGCCCGGTAAGAGTCTCTGCTCACCAAAGAGCATTTCTTATAAGTTTTATAGAGAAAGACATAAGAGGTATTCATTTACTGGTAAATTCACAATCCAAAGCTTTGAAAGTGTTAGGATGACCAGGCAGCTGGGATAAGCGGAAGACAGATAATGTGTGGTCAGGGCAACCGGAAGCAAATCCCCCCGGAAACCTGGTTTCTAACTTTCTTTTTGATTAGCTTTTTTTTTTTTAACATCCCCATTACCAGAAAAAAAAAAAAAAAAAACATCATCATCAACAACAAATGATAAACAGTCATCTCACAATAACAGAGCTACAGCAGAAGCAAGAAGGCGTTCCTTCAAAGTGCCTCGCTTTTTTTTGACACATGAAATTTAAAAGACAAACTTTTTTTTTTCTCAATCTTTTCTCAATCATTACACACACACACACACACACACACACACACACACACACACACACACACACACACACACACACACACACACACACACACACACACACACACACACACACACACACTCTTTACAGTCAAACTCAAAAAAAGGGCTCAGACAGTGTTCTTTGAGTTTTTTTCCACACACCTCCTTAGATTAGCTTACATTGACATTTGAGATATGGGAGTGGGGTAGAGGGAGTAATGCAGTGGATTTCTAATGGATGGGGGTTCAGGGGACAAAATGGGGTTGGTTGGTTGGTTGGTTGATTTGGGGATCAATATGACCCCGCTGAATACAACATGGGAGCAGCAGCATCAGCACGTATGAACTCTGTGCTGGATAGTTCAGGCACACGTATACAAAAAATAAAGGAAAAAAAAACGCCCAAAATTAATGCTTCCATCTCCAGTTACCACTAAAAGCAACCACATCGACAACAACTTCCCTTAATACAAAATGAAAAAAGATATTAAAGAAACTAACAAATATAACAGTGACAACAGAATCAAAGTGCAGACTGTTTCTGGCTGCACAGCTTTCTGGGCTTTTCTGTGGGTCTTCACTCTACCAGGAGACAGAAGAGATATGCTGGATCACTGAAACGTCTCCCTGGAACAAACCCCGAGCAGAGCCGGAGTTTGCTCCAGGCGGCCCTCTCTTGGTCAGTTTTGGCACTGCAGGCAACACGAGTTTGTGTATCCAGTCTGAGATGACTTCAGTTCTTTTCTTTAAATTTGTTCTGATCCTCTTCTCAATATCCATCCAACAAGCGCCGTCACAACCCAGGGCTTTTCACGTTCCCCCCACTTTTATATTCTTTTTTTTTCTTTTTCTTGAAGTGTCCCATTATGAGCAACGACAAAGACAGTCAAAAGACAACGATAAAAACGCCAAAAGCACTTCATGTCATGTAGCGGGTGATCGCTCTCAGAGCATATAACAGTTCCGCCTGCATTCGCGCTTCCATAAGAAGCAGATTAACATGGACCTGCAGGAGAAAGAAGAGACACCTATTAGACACTGAACATTAAGACAGAATTAAAAGAGCTGCTACACACCAGGATGAATCACGATCTTACCTTCTCGGAGTGCTGAAACTGCCTCCAGAAGCTCTCATACATTCGTTTGGTGGTCTTCTCAGGACTACACACCATAGTCTTGATATAGATTTTAAAGCTACGGTCCAGAAGCTGATTTATCTCCCCGTAATCGTAGTCATCATACCTGAAGAGCACAGAGAGACACAGTGTTAGAAAACACATAACGGGTCAGGTTACAAAATATAAGTCATAAAAAAAGACAACATGTCCTCCTGAGCGTCCAGTGACTGACCTGATGCCGAACATGCAGTGGATGTAGTTCCAGATGGCCCGGCGCAGCATGCTGGTGTCCACATCCTTGTGTGTTGCCATGGTGTTGTACGTCAGATTGTAGGCCATCTGGAACTTCTCGTCCAGCATCTGACCAACATCAGGGTACAGCCGGTTCACCAGAGAGAAGCCATGGTCCTCCCAGCTGTAGTCCTGCAGAGATATGAAGTTAATAACAAAGTCATGTGGACCATTGTTTGAGCGTACTGTTCTCTACATCCATGCTGTATCTGATCTCTACCTGCACTCTGAATGTGGGCACGTGCTCCCCCCTCCTGGAGAAGTCCTTGTAGCCATAGCTGGGGTCCTCAAAGTGTCGGGAGATGTCTCTGGAAGGGACACACTCCTCGTCCTCCGCTGTAACCACCAGCATGCTCTCAGTCTTCTCCCTCTCAAAGCGAGTCGCCATCTCCTCCTGACTCGCCTCCTCATCGTCGCACTCCTGCAGCTGCTTCATGCGCTCCATAAGCACCTCCACCTCGCCGCATAACTCCTACAGAAACAAAGACAAAGCAAATCAGGAAAAGTCCTACGAGGAGCATTTTCAAATCAGATGCTTCAAACATGTTAGCAAAAAAATAAATAAATAAATCATAATTGGTATTCTTCTAGTCTAAGACAGTTAAAATACATTGGTTAACATGAACACTCCCAGTTTTAAATCTACATATTTTGATGTCATCAAGTACAAATACTCTATAGACAATTAATGGGGAAATATATAAAATGTTACATAATGAGTATATGGGGACAAAAAAAGAAAACTGACATTGTGTGTGTGTCCAGAAAAAATTAGTCTGCCACTCTTTGTGTATGGAGCAGCTCAACACTTTATAATGATGACCAACAAGTATTATACTTCTCCTGTTTCATACTTTCAGAAAAATCTGATGTACCAATATAGATTACATTTCTCTAAGCCATGGAAATAATATACTGGTGTTCCGCTTTAAGTTTTACACCCCAATAAGAAACGCCTGACATGCTCCAGCTCACACATCATCCTCCACCACTCACATGGTTGCCAAGCGAATCGTTGTGATGAATGGAATGACCGTTGCCATTGGCAATGTCACAGACGCAGTACTGGCTGAGGGAGGGCGGTCTGAAAGTGTGCCCGCCGTTGCAGTGGATCTCCGTCGTGATGCCGCAGCCGAAAGTGAAGGAGGCGAGGGAGTGGTAGTGTGTGAGGAGGACCACGGCGTGGATTAACTCTGCGAGGGACCAGCTGTGCTCCTCTGCCTTCAGAAGGCACTGGAAAAAATGATGTAAAATAAAGTTAGTCTTGACAACTGGAGCCTAAAAAGATGACCAACAGAAATGGAAAAGGTGCTTTCATCCTTCCTATCCTATTTATGTTTCATTTCCAGTCTTAACCCCATCCCTTTTTCACTATACCTCCACTGTCACTTTCCTAAACCCCTTCAAAGTTGTGCAGCTGCAGCTACACCCCCTCCACCTCTGATCTCAGCCTGTTGCGTAACACTCTTAATGTCCCTCCCCCTCCATGCCCTTCCTCTCACCTCAATGTGTTCCTTGGTGAGAAGCCATGGTCGGTGGGCCAGGATTTTGTTGAGTTCCCCGAGCTGCTGGAGCTTCTGCGGGGCTTCATCCAGGCCGTCCAGCCACTTGGGATCCCCCCCGACCTGGAGGAAGTCGTTCACGTGGAGGTTCACCAAGTAGGAACACTGGTGTCTAGCTGCCGCCTGCAGGATCACAGAACAAGATGTCAACCACGAGATGTTTAACAGCTTGACATACAACAGTTAAACAAGGTGCAGAGATGATATCAGAGGTTAAACCGGATCCTACCATGATGCCGATGTAGTGTCGGTAGTGCAAAGAGAGGGGCCCGTCCATCTGCAGCAGGTAGTGCTGCGTCCGGAGGAAACTCCCCAGGTACTGTGGGTGGAAGCCCATCACCAGAGAAATGTTGTCGAGGCGACCGAGGGCTGCAAACGCATCCTCAAATATCGACTGTGTCCTGGCGTCCACTTTACTGACTTCCAGAATCTAACAGAACAAAAGACAAGTTTAATTAATACATTTGATTTTAAATTAGAGTTAAAAGTCCTAATTGCAAGTGAGTCACTATTGAGTTAACAGACTGTCTCTTACCTCTTTTTCAGGGATAAATCTGCTTGGTCCGTTTCCTAAGGGTCTTGGGATTCTAACTCCCAAGTCCTGCAAGACAAAAAGAAACAGAACATGCACTTTAATACCACAGGAAAGATGAGGAGAAGCTCTTAGCACCGCTTGCAAGCGATCATTTTTTCTCACTTTTTATTTATTTTCTCTAATGTCGTCACTGTGTTGCTTCACCAGTGTGAGAAATCAGAGAAGTATCATTTGTCTGCCACCAGTAAATATGAAGTTAATAACAGTCATCCGTAGGCTACTGTTTTACAGAGAGAAATCCAAAAGGGCGATTTAAGATTTTCGTCATTGTGGAAGTAAATACAACTCAACAAAACAGAAAAAAACATGAATACATTAAATCAGAATTAAACTCTAACGCTTCATAATTAATGAGGAATCCAAACACAAACGTTGCCTTCATAAAACATTAAAAAACAACCAGAACTTTGTCTCTATCTCGTCCTGTAACTTTCCGCTGCTTGTCGAGACATGTCCAGTAGCGGACACCGTCCCGCAGCTGACAATGAAGCAGATGAATGAATGACCGGCGAAATGTATATAATTCACAAATGACACGGAGTTAAAACAAGCACATGAACGTGTTATTTACGTGTCTACATTATTGATTCTGAAATCATCAAAGAAATTAAACCCAGAAACGATGTTCTTGACCGATACTGACTGAAACTCTTCTTGTCGTAAACAAGCCTGCACAAAAGACTGCACTGCAGCTTGTTTGTTCAAAGGGAAAACGTCGCCTAAAAACACCAATAATGTGACAATGTTTTCAAAAACTCTTTGTCATGTTTAGGATATCAAAGCAGTGATATTCAGAGGGATGATATTTGTTCATGTAGCCTTTTTATTCCTCTTACCTTTTTGCTTAGTCTTTCACAATGGGTACATATCTTTAACAGGTTTGTCACGGCAAAATAATTATTTTCCACGCTTTCTGCCGGTGCGACCGCGTGCCTCATCGCGTGTCTTCGCTGCACTTTGATTATTTCAAAGGAATAAAAATGTAAAAAAAAAGGTTTTCTTGATGGCTGTTTCCTTCTCTCTTTGTTCCTTGAGGCACTGGGTAAAGTGCTCGGCAGTCAGCTGTTGCAGCCCTACAGCAGAATACCGTCCTCTCTCGCTCATACATTCGGTAAATAAGTCGAGGCTCGTTTGATTGACGTGCTCAGCGGCCAATCAGGAGGCGAAAACAGCCTCGCAGCAGCCAATGGCGGCGGGAGGAGCAAGGGTAGGCGGAGCTACGCGTGAAGAGGGAGAGGGGGGTCCTAAACGTGAGCAGAGAGAACAATCCCCCCTCTAAGAAAACATCATCACTTCTCTCTCCTTTTGTTCCACATTGCCATTGATCATGATTGAATTTACTGCAATGCATTGCACCCTGTATGCTAAATGTTGGCTGTAATCCATTCAAGAAGATTACTTGCTTGTTTTTCCCTCCAATCACTCCAATCAATACTTAAAACAATTACCATATATGGAGAAACCACTCTGCAGGAATTCTAGAAATAGTTTTCTGTAACGTTGGCAAATGTTGCTGGAAAAGAGGCATGTTTGTTTGTAGTATCTGTGTGTCCATCTGGGTAATGTGCATTCAGTGAAAACAACAACATCTCAAAGCCAGCTCTTGCAGGCAGCAGCAAGTCCCCCTATTGGCGTCTTGCAGCACTGGGGGGTGGGGGGACTTAGCCCCCGTCTGTCCTTGGTGAACAGCAGAAGAAGGTAGAGGTCTGCTGTGCATAGATTAGCATCAGCGAGACAGATAGCTGCAGGACCCGCTGCAACAACAACAGCCTTCAGTTAGAGGCACCGCAGCCTATCAGACCACAAATAATGTGATCCACCTATCAGCCGCAGCTGAAGGAGGCCTTTAAAAGCTAGTAGAGGGCAGACACAAGAAAGGCTGCTCTTCTGGCTTTGTTTCTCCCAGCTTGGCAAAAACACTTTCATTGGAACAGTGTTTAACTGGTTTATCACACCGCAGTGGATAAAAGTAAATAATTACTCAGAATGATATCAGATGAGATGTACTGGAAAAACAACACTGTGTACCACACATTTTATATCACATTATAAAAGCCTCCTTACTGTATATCAGGTCTGGATGTGAAAACGATTTGTACCAGAAGCAGATTACTTGGTACCTGGTAAACAAGAGATAAACGATTGTAATTACATGTAAAAGCCCGATTTCAAGTCTTATTTCCTCTGTGGATGGCCAGTGACCACATTAGAAAAGCATCCACATATTGAAAAGTGTGTGCACACACACATGCATATTTGTGCGTTTTGTGTAGGGTTTCAAAACAACACGTTTCCCAAGCAAACAGAAATACCTTTGGCGATTTCACAATGGAAACAACACAATAGTTCAGATTGTTTGGAGAGAGTGGCACATTTTATGAGATACAGTGTTTTAGTTCATCCTTCCTGCAACAACTAGCAACGGAATAGTTGATGTGAACTGTGAACCCGGTAAAAACCTGACAAACAATTTACATTTGGTTATGATAAGGGAATGGTGAGCCAAGGAAAATGTGTCTGCCACCCGATGAAGAGCCTGACCGGCCCGTTTGGCAACCGACCTCAAGTCCCCAGCACTGACAGTTAGATAGCACAGTATTCAGCAGGTTCATTGTGTGGCTCTAGCCAACGCCACCCCCCCTCCCTGGTCCCTCTCCTGATGCCACAGGCTGGGGTGCGGGGCAGCGGTAAACATGTTCCCAGGGCTGGAGTCAGCACTCCCAGGGCTGCAGGGAGCCCCATGGCTCAGCAAAGCTGCAGAAGAGGCTGGTCAGCGTTAGGGCTTACGACACACCAAACCTTTTGACATAAAAGCGCTTAGGCTCGGGGGTCCGGCCTCGCGGACAGGCCAAACACTATTGTCAGAGAGCACGCACTGACTCCTCTGTGAGCTTTACTGTACTCACATCAGGAGTATCTCTGTGTGTGCAGTGATCCAGACATATCTGCTCCTTCCTAGATCAAGGCTCGCTTTGGTCTTAGTTGCAAATCATAAAAAGTTGCATGTTTTTATTAAGAGCTGAATTGTGCAAAAGCAAACCGTAAAAAAAAAACTACAAGGAATCATAATAATTGTGCCTGATGATAGACTCAAAACACTAAATTCTGGATCTAGAAAGCTCCAGAAAATTGTTATTTGTGACCCTTGAGTTAAGGTTTTGTCCAAATATACATCCAGTTCACATCCAAAATAATGCTCATTTAAAAGCATTATTTTGTTTAAAATGTTCATTAATGTGCACTGTCCCGGTTTAAATAAACGATTAAATGAAAACAATGAAAGTTCCAATCCCTGTATCTTTAGATAAGTGTGCCAAAACTGTCTGCACACTTGGACTTCATGTCTCTGGTGTTGACACATTTCAAGGGAACATGAAAAAATATTTAACTTTAGACGTCAATGCATAAAAACCAGGCTTTTATTGCAAACTGTAAGACTTTGCGGTGTCTTCTGAAGCGGATTCAGAACATTGTGTGACATATAAAACCACACCACGCAGGTGCCTGAAGTACACCTGCGCTGTAAGGGAATACTCAAACTTCTCTGAACATGCTGTTACTTGGGGGTTTACACTAACTAAACAACAGTGTCTGATAGACTCATTAGTGGTTGCAGGAGATAAACCAGTGACCTTTTAGCTGCAGGATTGCCACTAAGCCACTGTGACACCTGGATATGCAACTGTGTGTGTGTGTGTGTGTGTGTGTGTGTGTGTGTGTGTGTGTGTGTGTGTGTGTGTGTGTGTGTGTGTGTGGTGCTAGGACAACATTAGGAAGATTAGTTATGACGGAGAGAAGTCTCTGGAAAAAACAGGAATCATCTCAGATTAGTTTTACAGTGTGTCTGTCATCAGATAGTGATCTATTAGAAAAAAGGCCTGATCAATGGACACATTTCCACTTCTCTTAGACTATTATTAACCTTCAAAAACATATATTACCATTAAAATTAAAAGTCATGATTGTCTCAATCAAAGTCTTGGCATCTGATATCCATATCCAATATAATATCCATATCCAATGTCAACATTAGTTGACGTACTTTTCAAGGAGGCGGAATGTGTATTCTGCCACATTTTGGTTGGAAAAAGGACTGTGTTGTGCTCCATGAGTTCTTTCAGAAGACATTTTGACTTTTTGTTCAACTTTAATCCAAGCTGATCCCTGTCATGTTTTTGTCAGAGCCTACAGCCTTCAAATCTACAAAGTGTGAGTCTTCTGTCTGTTCACATTCAGAACATAGTTTCTGTCAACAAAGCGTGAAAAACATAGCGCATCAAAGAGTGAAACCATGTTAAGTGACGTGTAGTAGCAAGTTCAATAAGTGACGCTGCAAATGAGGAATTGAAGGTACAGAGAAATGCACAAACAGATATGCAACAGCTTTCATGTCGCTCCAACATTTTACAGCCAAGTTATGAGGATAACGGTAGAAAAAGGATAAAGTGAAAAGAAAAAAAAATGAGTAGTTTTAAAGCAACGAAGCGGTTTCATTAAGGTCCAACTGTCTTCTAACAAGAATCAGTTCACTAAACTTTTTATAAGTAAGAAAGTATGGCAGCTACTTTCTCAAATGCTCACAAAAGTGGTTGATTTTCCTTAATGAGTGTGGAGCTGAATTAACAACAGGCTTAAACCAATAAAGAGGATGATTAAAGTTAATAAGATTAAAAAACAGGGAGAGGAAGCCGTGCCAGACTTAAACTCTGCACATATGTGTCTCAGGGCTGCGGCTGCTGTGTTTTCTCATGCAGTAAGTCGCGAAGGGAACCGCAAAAACTGTGGGGATGTTCAACAAGTGGCAGGAGTCCACCAGAGCAGTTCAACTCCAACCTATCAGTGCACAGAGGAGAGGAAGCAGAAAACCCTCGAACACTGACATAAGCCTAGCAACAGGCTTCCACCAATCAGGGGGCAGAACAACAGTTACAGGAACCAATCTTCTCTGCCCTCTCTTTCTGCCTCTCTTGTTTCTCTGAAAAAAAGTAAAGGAAAACAGAAAAAAG